TAATAAACTTTAAAATTTTAAGTTTTACATTGAGTCAAAAAGCGTTCGGAAACTTTTAGCGGGGGTTTGTATGTCTTCATTTAGGTTAAAAATACTCTAGATAGATTCTTTATTGTCTGAGACTTGTAAAAAAAGTTTTTGTTCAATATTTGTAATCTGCATTAACAGAAATAAGATATTTTGAACTTTGCTTGTAACATTCTTCTATACTAGTTCTCTTCTTTTAACAGTATCATTTTTTATAACACTATTCAGGTATAGGTTTTTTAATTTGAAATATATTATATTAATAAATTTTAAAATTTTTACAAGAATCTCTTTAGGACAATGTGGGACTATTGATGATATTATAGATTTTAAAGTTATTTAGTAAACTTGATCTGTAACCCTAATTATATTGCCTGATATTTTGCTAGTATGAGACTTGAAAGTAGAGACTTCTTAGATACTTCTTCTTTTAGCTTGACACTTTTTTTCATTGGTACTCCACTTCGCTCCACTTTTTTTTACAGCATAGCAGTTTTAGGATTTATCATCAATATCATTATCATCATATTCATTATCATCTTCGATTTTCTCTTCTTCAGAATCTTTTTTCTCTTCCACTATGTATTCTTCAGAGTCTTCAAGATCTTTTATCTCATCTTGGTATACATAATTAACTTTTTTAGTTTACTTACCTTTAGGATAATTAACCTTTGTATGATCAGCCTTTTCATAGACAGAGTAATGCCAGACAAGTTTGCTTGATTCTTTACTTAGTATTACCTTTCTAACTACTTTCTTTATAATATAGATACTTTTAGATATAAAAGGGCTCTTTCTTACATGTACTGTTTTATTTACTCCTAACCTTTTTTTAAGTTCTTCATAAATAAAATTTTCTAATGTATTGTCATCTGTTCCTATTCCTGTATAAGTCAAATTTCTTGCTAGCCAAATTTTAAAATCATCTTTTTGTGATTGAGTAATAAAGCTAACTGGAGCTAATGCGAAAACTTGTATTCTTTTGCTTATACTTTTATGCTATTTATTATGCAACTTAGTAAAAAATATATGACTATAGTAGGATTAACAATTCTAACTCTCATTTTTAAATCAGAAGGTAAATGATTAAATAGATAAGATATGATATCAGCATCTTGCATTGCTTATACTAGTGGTTTGATTTGTTTTTCATAATTATCTAGGATATCTGTTTCAAAAAATTTTTTATTAACAAAAGCAAATATAGCATTTTAGTTAGTCCTTACTATAACTTCTCTATATCTTTCACGCAATCAAGTTAGAAAAAGAGGTTTAGTAATAATAAGTGGATTATCTTTGGCATAAGGATCATTAGCAGGAATAGGTACAAACCTTCTAGTCATCTTATTTCTCATAACATTGCTTCTTATTTGTGCATTAAATTAGACAACAGCTAATAGACGTACTATTTTATTTATATTTCTAATTTTAGTAGTGTTAATTCTATTATTTGTATACAGGATCTCAAATATACTAAAAAACTGCTTATAATGCTATGATGTCTAAAGCTTATTTATTAATACTTAAAAATTTATTAGCTCAGTATTCTTATTTTTTTTAATCATATTAAATGTTATGATTTAATTATGTATAGAAATAATATTATAAAATTAGATTGTCAAAATAATGCTACTGCATATAGAATTTTTTGCTCTTCATATTTAAGATAATATTTGATCATAAATTATAAAATACAATTTGAAATATATAATTTTTTATATATTTATTTATGATAAGTAATAAATTTTTTTATTTATTAATATTTTAATAAATTTTAAATTCATTTATAAATTTTATACTATTGATTTAGGTGAAATTGTAATGTTATATTAATTAAAAGAATAAGAATAGTAATAACTGATTTTTCTTTTTACATATTTGACAATTTCATATTAAAATACTTTTCTAATTTTTATTATTATAATCACAAATTTTTGGCTAATCAAACATTTTTAATACTTATTTCTCTTTGTCAATTAATAGTTTTATTAGTCAAAAATTACTATAAATATTATTCTCAAATATCTTTAATTTCTTAAATACATAGCAATAAATCTTGTGAATATTTTTTTAATATAATAAAATAAATAAATCCTTATTTTAACTTTATAGAAATCATTTAAATACTTCTAAAGATTTTTTAATATACAAAGATATTTAAAAATAAGAAACTAAATTTTAAAAAATGAAATCTATTTACAAAAGTATTTTAATATTCTATTAAATAAGAATTTCAATTAAATTGATTATAAAACTCTTCTATTTTATAAGCTATAATTTTGATTCTAATTTTGGCTTCTTAGATGAATTATTAATACAAAAGCTTCAACTTGACCATTAGATAAACAAATATTACAAACATTTTATCATTTATAATATTTAGCAAAAGAATTTATTGAATTCTTTTAAATGATTCAATTATCTATTTTATCAATTAATAATAGTACCCTACAATTTTATAAATGTTAGTGATAACAAAAATTTACAAAATGATAAAAAATAAACTATTTAATAATTGTGAAATTGATTTATCTATAACAATTAACAAAGCTTTTTTTGAAATACAAAAAATCAACGAACAATTAGAAAAAATCAGTCCATTCATATCGCAAAAATATCAAAAATTAGATTACATAAAAAAAGATTAAAATTCTTTTAGATTAGATTTCTTAATCTTTAAACTTTAATCCTATTGAACATTTGTAACATGAATTGAAATAAAAACTTTGAAAATAATCTGTATATCTAAAGAATTTTTATGAATTGAAAAAAGCATTATAAGAAGAATAGAAAGAATTCTATCTAAAACTTATATTAATTTAATTGAAAATATGTTATATCAGATTGAAGCATATATTAAAAGTTAAGGATAGCTAATTAAATATTAAATATTTATAATATTTATAATAAATTACAATTTTAATTGATTGATCAAATACTTTTATAGGATAGTATATTAGTTTAATTTAACAAGATAATTTGTTAGATTAATTTAGTGATGTAATTGAAGAAAATTATAGTATAATGAGTTTAAATTAAAAAATAGTAAAGAAATGTGAAAATAGCAAATAGAAATAGAAGAAAAAAAAAAGATGAAAATACAGAAGATGTAATTGAAATTACAATTACATAACTTAATACAGATAGTTGGAATTGAAGATTGAATAATCAAGAATATAAGAATTAGATTTGATAATTAATAAAAAGAAATAATATTGTTTTTTAAATCATTAAAATATAAAATCCAAAACAAAATGTTGTTGATTTAATATTATAAATTAAAATAATAAATTATCAAATATTAATAATCTAATAATAGATTCAAATATATATATATTTATTTTTAAAAAAGGTTTCATTTATATTATAATTTAATTACAAATATTTACAAAATAGATCAATTATGTAAATTTACTTATAAACCATCCTATAAAATTAACAATTACCTTAAAATAATAATTTAATTATATTGCAAATAAATAATAGAAGTTTGTTGTGTTTGAACTAATGTAGGTATAGATATTTACAAAAATGACATAGGAGCAGAATTATTACTATACATGCTGAAAATTTTAATTATGATCGCGATAATTATAATAAGAGCAGTCATAATAATGACTCCAAATAAAATACATTTTTTCTTTCTGGCACTTCTTGCAATTTCAATAAATTCTTCGTTCGCTGTTTATAAGGTTTAATT